ATGAGTGTGTGCATAGACACACACACACACACACACACACACGAATTATTATTATAATGGGATAAAGATCTCCAGCCAAGGAATGATTCTTATTGTAAAGTCCCCATGTTCTTCTAGGAGACTCCCCTGGGTATATATTAAAAGCAAAATGGTCCTACACAAACATTTTCAATCTACAAAACTCAATTCATTTCTGAGTCCCTTCAGGCATTTATCTTACAACTGACCTAATAAGGACAACTGTCTCCAAAGGCTACATGAGAACTTAATACAACCGTTCTAACATTTCAGAGTGTCTAAATTACTGCCACTCATGTATTCCATTCTGAGAGAAGTAAAACTGGGTTTTTGATTTTCATTTGGACAGATCCTGGAAGAAATAAAATAAATTGCATATTCTATATTTTACTTAAGGGATATCAGGTTATTAAACTCCCCCCCATTATAATATCCCATTTACAGTACTTTCTTGCAGCATACTTGAATAAACTGCTTTATTACTTACCTGTTTTGACAACATTTACAACATATACCAATTTATATGCACTCTGGTCATCTAACAACGAAGTAAAAATAATTTCATAAAATGATAACAAAAACAATATATCAAAATTCCTATCAGGATAACTCTCAATCAGCTAAGGCCCAAGGCATCTTGAAATAATACATGTATGCCAGTTGTGCCCTTTACAGGACTGGGGTACCTTTCCCATGGTCATCCACAAATTAAACATTTCACAAATGGTTTGCTGCAGTGCTGTCTGCCTGGAGTTGCCCTTAAAAGCTACTTGGAAGCTACAGCTGGCCCAGAATGCAGTGGCATAGTAATTATGGATATGTCTCAGTGTGCACATGTGACATCTCAGCTAAACGGGTTACACTGCGTATCAGTGAGCTGAGTGCAATTGAAGGTGATAGAGGTCATTTATAAAGCTCTACATGGCACAGGGCCTAGGTCAGGGGTAGGCAACCTTGGCTCTTTTATGACTCGTGGACTTCAACTCCCAAAATTCCTGAGCCACCTGGCTCAGGAATTTTGGGAGTTGAAGTCCATGAGTCATAAAAGAGCCAAGGTTGCCTACTCCTGACCTAGGTACTAGTGGAATGGGATTGCATCTCTGAGTTATCTGCCCCCCCCCCCAGATCTGATGGGATTGATAAGTTTTGTTTCCCATGTATTAAGCCTTCTAATCTTGCTAGACACAGTAGTACCTTCTCTGTCACTGTGTCTACTGGAATTGTTCTAGCACCAAGACAGTTTACATGCTTGTTTTTTTTAAAAAAAATTCTACCGTTTTCTCAGTTGATGTTAACATTTTCAGTTTCATCATGTTTACCCCTATAAAGATAATAGCTAAATAAATAATATCCAGATGCTGAGTCATTGGCTCTCCCCATGTAACTTTAAGAATATACCAAATTATATAATTTATTAGACAGATACATTGCTTTTGTGTAGTAAAGCACATTGTGCAACCATTTGAAAACTTCAAACAGTTAATTAAGTACAATTGTAACCAGCTGGAACGAAAAACAAACTATGTTCTGTATATTAGCAGCAAATTAATTCTCCAGGTGCTGATCTCTTTGTAGCCAAAATAAGACTAATGTTACAAAAGATAAAAACATTAGCAGGCTTCCCAAGGTGTGATATAATAACAAAAACTCTAGTATCAGCAAAAATAAAAGGGATGGGAAGATCTTTAGAATAGCATGTTCGGAATATCTACTGTGCTAAGCAAGGAACGGAACGGAACAGAACAGAACAGAACAGAATAGAATCCTGAAACAATGCAGTCTAAACATGACATTTTGTACTAGGAAAAATATGAGATTTCTCAATGTACATCCTTTATCCAACCTAATTTCATACCTAAGGACACCTCAAAGTTTGCAGAAATGCAAACTATCTTCTAAATGGGAGGACTATGTGCAGAAGCCCCTAAGAACAGAGCATTCTCAGGGCCAAGGAGTATTGGTTGATAGTTGTGTGAGAATAGGAAACCTGGAGAAGGAGAGAGTATGGGAAGATATTGGAATTTTTGACTTTGACTTCAGTGGTTAATCCTACACTCCTATGAAAACCCAGTATTCACAAGCCTTTAACTCAGCGGTTCTCAACGTTTGTGTGACGGCGACCCCCGTCACACAAACGTTATGCGCATGCGTGGCGCAGCGCACATGGGGGCGGGGCCCCATGCGCGGTGCGCATGCGCGGCGGCGCCCCCGGAGGGGAGAAAATGGCGGATCGCCGCCTTTGGCGACCCCCGAAAAATGGTCGATCAACCCCAAATGGGGTCGCGACCCATAGGTTGAGAACCGCTGCTTTAACTATATGTCTGTATCCTATTAATTCCAATGGGGATTAATATAATTTACCTTAGTTTGGGTTTGGTTTCGTTTTTAGTTTATCTCTTAACAGGTAAACACTTCAGGTGTGTAGATATTAACCGTTGGATTTCTTAACTACCTAGGTGGCTAGGTAATTCTTAGTTGAAGACCACACATCTGGAGGATTCAGTACAGAGCCAAAAATTTATGTTGCTAAGCGAGACGATTGTTAACTGAATTTTGCCCAATTTTATGGCCTTTCTTGTCACAGTTATTAAGTGAATCTGGTTTCCCCATTGACTCTGCTTGTCAAAAAGTTGCAAATGGTGATCACATGACCCCGGGACACTGAAACCGTCACAAATATGAGTCAGTTGCCAAGTGTCTGAATTTTGATCATGTGACCGTGGTGAGGCTGCAGTGGTTGTAAATGTGAAAAATGGTAATAAGTCACTTTTTTTCAGTGCCATCGTGACTTTGAACAGTCACTAAATGAACTGTTGTAAGTCAAGGACTACTTGTACACACAGTTTTGGAAGTTATGCCTCTGACTCTCCTCCATAATACTACTGGCAAAATAAGGACATGCAAACTAAAACACACTGTTTAAATCTAGATTGGGAAAGGCAAAGAGAAGCCTCTTATAACTGTTTCAAGGAGGAAATTTTAGAAAGCATAAGCATTAACATTACTTTTTTACTTTCAACTATTAGATATGTCCAGTCACAAAGATAGTTTGTAGTCAAATATGTATCAGGTCATTAGTTTTTTAGGATCTACAAACCCTTTAAATTTAAAAAATGCCAAAAGAAAGAAAAAAAACCAGCCAAGATATGCCTTTTTAATATTAACCAACCCCTCCTAATTAAAGGATTTTTAGTTACTTTGTCACCTATCAAAATTTCACGGCATGGTTTAAATCCACATGGCACTTTTGCACATAGGCATAATATTTAACAGCTTCGGTTTATGAAGCAGCTAAAATATCCATAAACCTAAGCTTCAGTGGTTCAGGTTTCATGCGCAGATTCAGTGCATCAGCTCCACTGAATTGTAACTCATGGAAGAATGGTGCCAATTATTGTGCAGCAAGTAGCTTCAAGGTATAAATGGAATCAGTGTGAATAGTGTACTCTGAACTGGGCTTTACTTAGTGGTTACTGTACAAAATTCTACGCTATAATTTCAGTTTAATTCTACATTGTGCCAGTACTCAGATAAGGAGATAGTTTCTGAATCTTCCTAGAGTAGATAAATCTCAGTGAAGTTTTGGCCTTATAGACAGAGGCAGTTATTCTTCATGTCTGCTTCAAGAGGTTGCAGTCTCAAGGTTGCCACATACATACACAATGAACACCTGGGATGACTTGTCAACCGTTCAAGGTAGGCCATGTCAAGAAATGTATTCCTCAAGAATGAGCAAGTATGCTTTATTAATATAGGACAGGGTTCTCAACCTTGGCAACTTGAACATGTTTGGACTTCAATTCCCAGAATCCCCCTTCCAACCAGGGAATTCTGGGGGTTAAAATCCATAGATGTTCAAGTTGCCAAGGTTGAGAAACACTGATATAGGCTACAGTAACCAAACCTTGAAAGCTTGACTGTGTTTTTCCTACCTTCTTCTTATATCCCAAGGAATTAAGTAGAACCATCTAAGTTTCTTTTTAATGTTTCCTTTTTTCACAAGCTTAAAACATATTTTTCTAACAATTGCTGCATACTTTCGCCAAGGTTATCTTGGCAACTCTCTATGCAACATCTACATTTTGAGTCAGAAAGATAAAATTGCTTTTTCATGTTGACTCTTTTTATTGTACAGCCTTTCAAATTATACAAAATAGCAAACATTGTGAGAAAACAAACCAATTATGAGTAGCACCCAATATATATCCAGTATAGTCAAATCTCTGCCTTTCAATTGATTTATTCCTCTCTTAATCTGCCATCCTGGTCTTCCCATCTTTCTACTTATTCATTGCTCAATTAGTTCAGGAGTTTTTCAAATTGCAATCTTTATATCCTGAATTCTCCCCACAGGCATGCAAAAGGATTGAAAATTGCCTATTTCTCTTGGATCACAGTAAAAACTAAACGGAGGACTAAGGTGTACCTTGGGCACATACCTATGGTCTAACAACAGAAGAATCACTGTTCAGTTTACTTATAAAGCAGATTTAAATTCTATTTGCCACACGCTGACTTGAATTCATTAAAAATGAGATTTGCATAATGATCTTCCGTATTTTCATTGCTACTTGTAGATTATTGCAGAAGTGACTGCTAATCACAGTAAGATAGAGTAATATACAAGCTGATTGTCTAATATTTGCTACTGTGTTATTCAGAACTCTGAATTCGGATGTAAAAATTGGAATTGTACACATACTATAGTTATTTGGAGAAAGAAGAAGGTACATAAAATATGTGTAAACATGTAGCCTCTTTCAGTCATAATAATATTCTCTAACATTGTTTTCCTTACATATTGATGAGAAAAAAAAAATCAATTTTAATCCCCCCCAAAAGTAATATAATTTTAAGAAGGTTACTAGCTATTAATAGCATTTGGGAAAGACGATTATTGTATCATGTTTTGTTCTATTTAAAGTGAGCAAAGGAACACTTGCCTGTTTTTAACATCATGTTCTTAAGGATAAGAGAGAACAGCACTTAAACCACAATTTTATTAAATTAATTTCTAGCAATGAACTAAGGAGAAATACAACTTATATACTTATACTCAAACAATTATTAGCAATAGTTTCACCAGGGAGAAATGACAAATAAGCACCCAGTCTTCAGCATTCTTCCACAAGAATAAGCTCCAATGAATATAGTGAGATTTATTTTTGAATACGATACATAGAATTGCAATGTTGTTTTTTCATTTGGAAATTCCATGTTTATGCATCTGACAATAAAACCACACTTTCCACCTTCTGCTATTTATTTTGCCTTTTTCACTTTTGTCAGGCAACAAGCCATGCTGAAGGCTCTCCTGATTGATGAATGACGCCTCATCAAATCAACACCCTGGGAAAACTTTATTACACTATGGCAAGGTTTGCCACATAATTCTTTGCATTTCCACTCAAAGCTACTTCCTTCTGCTTCCATGAGAGAATATTGTCAAGTAAGACTGAGTCAGTCTTCCCCAAACAGATGCCCTACATCTGCTTTGCTCTGCAACCTTGACCCTAATGAGATTTAGGATCAAGATCACGTGAAGTGTTAATACCACTTTACAATGCCTTGGTAAGGCCACACTTGGAATACTGCATCCAGTTTTGGTCACCACGATGTAAAAAAGATGTTGAGACACGAGAAAGAGTGCAGAGAAGAGCATTTTTCTGAACACTACAATTTCAGTAGGTAACAGATTGATTTGGCATACCCCCAAATAAATAGTGTGCCATAGAGTACACATATATCAAACACTTCAGGAAAGTTTCTTCCTGTTCTCCAGCTCATGAAGGAAACATTTCAAATTGCAACTGTATATTGCAGTTCCTGTTATATTTGGTTATGGAAACTGATGGTTCAATCAGTTATTTATTTGCTAAATTAAAGCACCATATAACATTATAGCATATTGTTTGTAAATTAAAAAGAAAAACAGAAAACAAGACGATACACTTAGCAACACTATGAAAGTTATGTATATTCATCTTGTAGGAAGTAAAATACAGTAGTCCTCACTTAACAATAATTGGGATTGGCCGTTCCTTCATTAACCATTCCAGCACAGTTGGAAGTGCATTATCACATGAACGTGGCAAGTTACAACAGCAATTGTGGCAATTCCAGCTGCTATCATTAAGTAAATCCCACATGGTCATTGGGCAGGATGTCACATCATCACTATTTGGAACTCCTGCTGGTTTTCCCAATGCTTTGCTTGTTCGAAGACAGCAATCAGGTGACCACAGGATGCTGCAACCATTGTAACTGCAAGCTGATTGCCATGTGCAATCATTTGACCATGGAGATCCTCCAGTGACCACAAGTACAAAGACCTGTGGTAAGTCTCCTTGTTCGATGCCATCATAACTTTGAACAGTTGCTGGACAAGTGGTCATTGAATGAGGAATACTTGTAATGTTCTCTGAATTTTTTCTTACCTCTACTAAGTAGATGTTACAATACAGAGCACATTGTCAGAAATTATTTCAAATCTATACAGGGAATTGAGATCCCAGTTGATGAGATTTCAGTCATTGGGTAATTTCTGAGCTTGAGTTTTTTCTTGCTGTGATAGTTCTTGTTTGCCTTACTATAATAACTGGAGGAATCTAGAACCTGGTGCAATTAAAAGCCACCAATCATGTACACAAATCCAGAAATGTCAATGATTGGTGGGGAGGGACATTTGGATTTTTGTACAGATCTGAAACTACATCTGATAATCCTGATGAGTCACAAAATACTCATCAGCCGTGAAATGTGAGGCCTTGTAGTTCCAACCTAAAGAGTACCAGACTGAGGCAATTATGCACTTCATATCCTTCATCTACAGTATTGTGACAATATCTATTTGATGAAATAGTACTATTGATGAGCTTCTTGTAGCACCATCAAATCATCAGGAAAGAGCCTTGATAGCATCATCAAATTAACTGATAAGATTGTCTTTACCAATGCTGTTCAATATTGGATAATAGAAATCATTCTTTCAACCGGTACTATAAAGGTAGAGTTTGCTTTTCAGATCTATGTTGAACAGATCTTCTCTCTTTTATGCATGTCTAAAAAAGGAAAACAATATATGAAGCAAACTGTCCAAACCTCATAAAACATAGATTTAAATAAATTTAGAAGCAAGTTATTAGCATTTATAACTTAATCCCTTAAGTTATATTAAACCTTTCATCTCTAAAGGTAAAATCGTATTGTTTAAAAAATATTTGCCCATTCCAAAACATAGATGCAAAAATGTTAGCCTTGAGTTCAAATATCTCAATTAGTGACTAATTTAGAAGCTTCCCATTCCCTAATTTCATTGAAAAAAATATATATTACAAGGGAAAAGAAGGAAGAAAGGTGAAAGAGGTTTTGACTTGTAGTGTAGGAGATGGCCAGCTTGAGCCTGAGGGAGGAGTCAAGCACGTCATCAGTCTGGAATCCCTTCGCACTCACAAGAAATCTAAGTCCAGCCCACCTTGAATTCCATTGATTCATATCAATTTCATATTCAGTTTGCTTTGATCATTTATAGTTCAGATTCCTGTAGAGATCTTAAGCTTTCAATAAATCTTTATATTCAGTTGAACTGCCTGAATTTCCTGAATTTCCCGGCCCGTGACAGTCAGGCTTCATTATCTGGAAGTTCTCTAAACTAGTAATCATCACTTCATGTAGGCTTACTGTACTTCACAAGTTAATAGTTCGAGTTCTGAAGAGATGTGTCATCTATGGCCTGATTATACCACATTATTCTTAAAGAGTAATCTGAAGACAAAAAAAAAAAGCCCTCCATGGGTTTCCTCTTTTTCTTTCATGTTGTTTTTTGTTTTATAAGCCTGTATACAATCCTGTCTATTTATCTGAAAGGTATCTCATAAAGGGGAGTTATCATAAAGGTGAATATGTTGGTCCAGGATTAGATGTCCCTATCCTCATTTCTGAAACAATATTGATATCTTATTGGGTCCAATCGTTGTAGACCATGTCTATTAAATTTAACAAAAAGTCTGCCGGCAATGTAAATAATAAATGAATAAAATAAAAATCTTAAACGTTCTTTTTTGAAATGTAAGTAGTTGGAAATCTACCTAATGTAAGTTAATTTTGTGCAGGAAAGGCTTTATTAACATAGAAGAAATCTATCATACCATTTTTTTTCTTGAAATAGTCATTTCTAGCATAAGTCTCAGCTTTCTTCAATTTAGAAATCCTATTACATTTCTACCTCAAATAAAATTTAGGAGTTTTTTTTTTAAAAAAAAAAACCCTGGAGAAACAAAGAGTTCCTCTAGAAATAATCTCAACTATTTTCAGGCCAGCAAGCAAAAAAAAATCTTATTTTTCTGTTCTGTTTTCCTGTGTTTTAATTAAGCAATTTCCTTCAACATTTATTAAGCCAAATCTTATATTGAATGGCACAAATTAAAACCAAAGATTGATGATATCAAAGTGCAGACATGTAACTGCTTCTTACAAGACCAAAGAGAGGCAGATTTTAGCTAAGATAAATTATCTCCTCAGCAGACAATGTTTGATTTATGCCAACGAACATGATAATGAAGCAAAGGCAAAAATTACACCTTACAGCCAGTTTGGTATATAGGTAATGCCTCAGGCTAAAAACTGGGAGACGGTGAGCTCTAGTTCTGCCTTAGGCAATGAGCGTCAACTGGGTAACTTTGGGCCAATCACTTTCTCTCAGGCCTAGCAAGAAAGAAATGGCAACCCCTTGCCGAAGAAAATTGATTAGGAACCCATAAAGCAGACATGTCAAACTCGTGATGTCACGTGATGTCGCACAACATATCGGGATGGTTTTGCCATTGCTGGCAATGGGGTGGGCACAGCTTCCACAGGACGTGTCCGGCCCACAGGCCGGCAGTTTGACACCCCTGCCATAAAGGCTTTCCATGTGTTTCTGTTTTTGTTTTAGTCCGTGACCAGAATAGCTTTGTTATTGGCAATTTTCACTAGGCAGAAACTGTTCCCCTAACTCAATATATTTTATGACCCAAAGTGTTATGTCCTGTGTAATTTTCAGTGTTATTGACACTGTTAATACATCAGGAACTTCAGCTGCACTTCACTGTTTATGCAGGCAGTCTGTTTCTTTGAAGGTATTTTTCACCTTCCGTGATTAGCTTGACCATTTCAGCTCCATATAAAACAGATCATTATCTGCAGTCATGTCTCTCTCTCCCCCCCCACCCCCACCCTTGCCTCGCACAGAAGCTTAACCTCTTGGTCAATGAACTTCCAACGTTCTGTATTTGTGTATGTCTTGCTTACAACCAATATGTCTTCACTAAACAACATAATCAGGCCCCACAATCATGGTAGAAATTTCCTTCAGAAATTAATCCTCTAAATCATGGAGTGAAGTGAGATAATAAACACGAGATAGTGAAAGTGCCAATATATCTGCATTTTCTTGTTATGCAGATAACTTGGGAAAAAAAAGCCAGCAAATAGAATCCTATGGTAGAAAGAAGTGGAAAACACTTACACAAGTAAGGATGATAAGTAACAAATAGAAGCTCCCAATAGAGCTCAGCAGGACAAGTTCTGTTGTGTATTTTTTGAGTTTCAGATTTTGCAATTCCTCTGGACAGCCTGCAAGGCAAAACAGTAATCTTTACATTAAAGTACTTTGAAAGTTCCAACTGCAAGAGAAAAAAAAGAGAGATTGACAAACAAGTGTACCATACCTATTACTCTGAGTATAATAGTACTTTGGTTGTATTCTCTGACTGGTGCCAATAAGATACATTTATAAGCTCCACTATTGAAGTGTGTAGCATGTTTAATCTTCAGAAAATGCCAGGTGCCATTAGAAATCTCTAAGGAGTCGTTAAATCCTCTTGAATGTGAATGTTCTTTATTATATTCCACACCCTTCAGTCCTTTGTTGTTTTCATCAATCTATAAAATAATGACAAATTAACATAGAGAGTTTTGATTGCAACTATGTGAAAATATTTATACGCCAGTGCTAAACCATTACAGCAGCCTTCCAACTCTGCTTCCCTTTCTAGGTGTTTGGACTGCAACACCCAGAATTCCAACAAGCATTCTAGAAGGCTCCGGACTGTAATTTAAATTTAAACATTAATTTAAACATCATATTACAGAGTTTAGTTATGGTACAGTTTGAAGATTTACCTTTAAAATCTTATCTATCTTAAACTTCAGCTGCATCGGTCACCTATATTAATTCTCATTTAATTAAAAAATTCTGGTTTGTACCTCTAGTACCAATACTACTTCTTCACATCCTCAGAAAGAGTACCAAGTTGACTTTTCCGTGCCACCAGCCTGAACATCTGAAGTACGAGGGCCAGATTAAAGAAAGTAATGGGTAGATTCCACTGCTTTTGCTGTCTTCCTCCTTCTGAATGTTATTAGCCTGTGGGAAAACACCTACCAATCATAGCCATGCTGCAGAAATGGGATAGGTCTGACTGCAACTTTATGCTCTTTCCTATACCTCTCTTCCTATATCCTATTCTGTCATAACCCAAGTAGAATAAGGTTTAAAAAAACAACATATAGAAGTCACAAAGGGAGCTGAGAATACAACCACATATCTCCTATACTTTGGTTCCATTAATCAAGGATGGATCTATATCAGCGGTCTCCAACCTTTCTGGCACCAGGGACCGGTTTGGTGGAAGTCAATTTTTCCATGGATCAGGGCTGGGGAATGGTGGTTTTGGTTTCGCTTGCTCGCTCGCCACTCTCTTCCAGCTGTGGGCCCAGTTCCTAATAGGCCACAGACAGGTGCCATAGGGTGGAGACCCCTGATCTATATAACACAGCTTTCCTCTCATCTAAATTTCAATATATCAGTCAACCAATCTACAGCCCATAGCCAGAGGTGCTTTATTTCAGGTTTTCTTGATCTGATGTGGGGTTCTTCTTTATGAATGGCCTTTGTCCCTTAGCCAGTGAACGTGGTGATGGTATGCCAGGGCTCATGGCCATTTTGGTTTGTGCTGCTAAAACGTCATGATACAAGGACAGGAGCAGCACAGCAAGATTTGTAGAGGAAGCCATCATAGGAAGATTGTTTTAGACAGGCAGGTTTCTTTAAAGAAATCCTGGTGTGTCACTTCCCCTAGCACTTATTGCTTTAGTGATAGCAAGGGGTCTCTATACTGCAGCCTGAGAATCAGATTCTTATATAATTCTTCATGGTGTGACAGGCACAGAGATTTTGATCTCCCAGGTTTATCTGCTATATTGTTTTAAAAAGGCCCTTTATAAAGCAAAATACAGCATTCAACAGATTGCTACAGCAGTTCTTAGAATTCAGGGGTTCTGTCAATTGCTAAATCTGCCACCTTAAGTTCACACAGGGTAGAATGACTGGTGAAAGCTTTTCCTGCAGTGAGGAAAATTCACCAATTGCTGCACATTCACTTGCCATTATTGAACTTTCAGAAGGGTATCACGCACTGATTAGAGACCAGCTCCACAGACAGAGCAACTTATATTTCCATATTGTGCTTGTTCCATATCAAGCAGTTGGAAAATAGGATGTCAAAAGCAAAAAATATTGCCAAAACAATTTTTACCATGGATCAATGCACGAGGGGAAAGGTTCAAAGTGTTGCAAAAGCAAGCCATAGTTTTGCTGTAATTTCAACTGCCTCAGAGCTGAGCTGGAAATAAAAGATTCAACTTCCAACTCTGCCGACATTGTAGAATCAGACAGACCCCAGAGTTGCTTTCAAGTCACCACAGAATCCTGGGGTGGAACTGTTTATATCTGCTAATGTAGCTTTAAATTGATGTTATTGCTGATTGTGAGAATGAGCTGTGAGCAAGAATGAAATGCTTTGTGCCTGTGGTGCCGTTTCATCTAAGTCTGGCTCCAATTTGATCAATATTTATTACATTTTATACTAACCATTTGGATAGTCCTGGTGGCAGAGTGGGGTGGCTCAGATGAAGCGGGAGCAAAAAAAGCCATGTTAGAACTAGACAAGTAAACTTTAAGATAGGAAGCCTATTACAATGATTAAATAATCTGCTTTGGTAATCTGCTAAATCCACTGTATACAGGGAAACAAGTTATACAGATAATATATGCAAACTGGTACTTCTGTACTATCGTAAAAAAATGATCGACCAAAAAAAAGTGACATAAGGCAAGTGTCTTTTACCGCAAAAATTCTTTGAAAATATAAACGCAATACACTTATTTTTCCTTTTAGGATAAATTCTTTCAGAGCTATTTAATAACATTTGCCTGTGGGGACATCTAGTGGTCATGTCTTGGTTTGATAGGATGATTCATTTTTGCCTATATTTTTTTACAAGGAAAAGCTTTTTTTGTTTTTTTATATACTGAAATTGTTCATTAGAAACTGTATTATATCCACTCTTTCTGTATTATAACTTTTAGGTGCTATTTTTTCTTCTTCTCTGAGGTATGTTGTATGTGTGTGTGTATATGTGTGTTTATATAAAAGAATAGTATACTAAAAATTCACAGAGTATAAAATGGCTTTTTAAAAGAAAAAGGGTTTTTTGTATTTTTGTTACACTTTAGGATTTATGAAGAGTCTTACAAAATGGTTTAAATTCTTCTCTGATAAATTTCTGTGAGGTCCCTAGGAAGAAAAAGATAAGATAAGATAAGATAAGATAAGATAAGATAACATAAGATTTATTGTCATTTTTTTTACTGTGGGCACAACGGCACACATCAAAAATGCAATTTAGTTGCCCACTCTCAAAGTGAAACACATACATGACACACACCTAAAACATATTATGTACAACATATGTATAGATCCATGCCCCTACATATACATAGCAAATAAATATTAAATACTGTCCATCTTGAATATATAATGGAAAGAGGAAGCTTGAGAGGTCACAAGGTTAATGCTGTATGGAATGAAACTATGGCTGAATTTGGATATTCTGCTACGGACCATGAAGCCTCCTCCCAGAAGGTAACAAGGAAAACAGGTTATGAAGAGGATGTGTAGTGTCCCAGATAATCTTACCGACCCTGCTCAAGCAACGCTTCTGTGCTATGTCCTGGATGGGAGGGAGGGAACAGCCAATGATCTTTTTGGCCATCCTCACCACTCTCTGCACCGCCTTCCTGTCTGAAGCAGTGATGCTTCCAAACCAGACTGTGATGCTGTATGACAGGATGCTCTCGATCGTCCCCCTGTAGAAAGTGATCAGGACAGGGGAAGGAAGATGTGCTTTTCTCATGCAACTCAGAAAATGCAGGTGCTGCTGTGCCCGCTTCACCAGTTTCTCACTGTTGAGTGACCAAGCCAGCCTACTCGTTAGCTGCAACACCCAGGAATTTGATGCTGGTAACCATCTCCACAGGTGAATCATTAATGCACAGAGAAGTGTGGCTGTGCCTTCCTTTTCTGAAATCGACAATAATCTCTTTGGTTTTTCCGGTATTTAAAACTAGGCTGTTTTCCTTACACCAGTTCACCAACCCCTCAACCTCTTTGCGGTAAGCTTCCACCTTGTCATCCTGAATAAAGCCCACTACTGTTGTATCATCTGCGAACTTCACAATATGGTTGGTAGCAAACCTAGCACAACAGTCATGGGTCAAAAAGAACCTAAACAATTTGTATATAAAGTGTATTAATATTTAATAATTATAATCAAGAAACATGAGAATTAGTTTTAACAAATTGCAAAATTTTACAATACTATAGCTAAAGTATCGACAGCCAAACATTCTGCCATGAAAAATTACCGCTATTAAATGTATATTTATTATCAGTCCTAATATTGTTCAATATCCAGTTCAATAAAGTGCACAGAACTATCACTCGTCTATCACATCAATCAATTTTTCAGAAGCCAGCTAGACAGAATGCAAATAAACTATTTCTCCTGCTAATCCAGAGTGTCTCATTTCAATATTCTCTCCTACACTCAGGAGGATCTTCAGCCAACACAACATACGTACATACTTTAAACCCAAGAATACACTAAGGCAGAAGTTTGTCCACTCCAAGGATAAAATATCCAGACATAAACTAAGCAATATGGTACATGCAGCACAATGCAGTGAGACATGTGCAGATCTGTACATTGGGGAAACAAAACAATCATTTTATAAATGCATCACACAACATAGGAGAACAAACCCATCAGGACAAGATTCAGCAGTCCACCTGCATTTAAAAGACAAAAGCCACTCATTCAAAGACAGCAAAGTCCACATGTTGGACAGAGAGGACCCTTGGTTTGAAAGAGGGGGCAGAGGCCATCTATGTCGAAACTGAACAGCCCTCTCTCAATAGAGGGGGAGGGATACGACATCATCTATCGCCAGATTACAACACAGTCCTTTCAGCGTTCCAAGAAGGCTCCACACCCATTTGCACTGTTCAGGTGACCCTGAAGGCACAGATAGGCCTCCAGGTGGCCTCAATGACTCTCTAAAAGAATACAAATGATCAGCTGTCTGCAAGGAATGTAAATCTTTCCATTCCCCACCATCCAATCAGAGCTGAAGAAGCTTTTTGGATGAGAAACGAAACATTTTCAAAGAAAAACATGAAAGTCCAGTCGCCTCTTGAAAAAGCATCTTTGGGACAACCATGACCTGGATGACTAAGAATCTCCATAGTCGTACACTCCATGCTGCTGTTTACAGAGGTGGGAAAACAGCTATTTCACTGACATGGGTGTGAGTTCCATTCCATAGCTGAGATAATATACATGACCTTTTACACCTTTGCAGGATTGGGTGGGAGGGATGGAGAGGAGCAGGAGAAAGAGAGGGAGAACTTTCCAGATTATCAAATGTAAGCAAGTTTTTAGAATATACATCTCCCAATATTATCTGTTTTGGAGAGTTTAACTAATTTATTCTGACTCTCTACTGGTTATCCTGAATCACAGGAAAGTTCACATGTTTCTTTGAATTGCAGATCTGCTGATGTTTTTCCATTAGTAGGAACTCTTGTCTTACTCATCTCCCAGTCATTACTTTCTCTTCCCTTTCTCCCCTCCATCCCTCCCACACAATCCCTGCAAAGGATTCAGTATTTGGTTCCTGGAATTTGTCTCTTTCTATATATTTAGAACTTAACTCACCCTGCCATTGATCCAATCCCCACAACAACATGGAACCAATGTACAGCTATTGGAAAAGCACTCGGGCTAAACTGCTGCCATATTAGCATTCCACCAAGGAGCTAACGTAATTGGAAAGCTTTTAGAAGATTGTGCTGCTTTTGTTTATATTTTTCACAACTGAGCTTCTCTCACATAACTTCCGTTTCTGCACTGTAGCATTTCTTTGCAGACCATCAGATAAATGCATACAAATAAATGGACTCAGATTTAAGCAGACTGAGTGGTGGAAACTGACTAGGTGAGTTCGTGTTTGTTTATCCGATGGGATTTGTGTACCACCTAACACCAAACCCACTTTAGGCAGGTTTTCGAATTTACACATGAACCACAATGCAAATTAAATATAGTAAATCCACATCTAATTATTGTGGAGCAAACAGGAGGTTGCAAATAAGTGTTGCCTTGAATTATACAAAATAAAGGTGGGCTGTACAGTACATCTAATAAATAACAAGTATAATAAGCTGAAATATATCAAGTATGATGCTGCTAATTCTTATTAATCACTAAGACATTCTGGAAGAGCCATATTTTCAACTGTTTCTGGAAAGTCATGAGCTGTTCTTGCCTCCCGGGGAGCAATTCCAAAACAAGGACTGCTGCAGAAAGTGACCCTCAGTGGCCACTTCTCCCTTTTAATCTAGTAGGTGAGGATTCTCACCAAGTTTCCCAACTGGTTAGTAGGACTACTTAGGAAAGGTAGTCTCAAAGAAATGCAGGCACTGAGCCATATAGGGAGCAGCGTTGTGTTTCAGCAGTATTTCAATGTCTCTAGGAAGGATGATTTTGAGTCAGGTTCAAACAATTTGTGAGTGACTGTGGGCACATGCACCGTCACCCCAGCCCTGCCTCCCCCCACAGCCCACTTCTCACCAGCAGCCCCCCCAGAGGAGAGTCGCCCTTGAGCATGGCCCGCACTGAGCAGCGCAGCCAAGGAAATGGCAGGTGGACAGCAGGGACAAGACTCTGTCCTTGCGCTCTGTCACATGCAGTTGATGCTGTGGGGCGCGGGTGGAGGGCGTGGCTGCCATGGCGCTGCTGGGTGATCTGTGGCAGGCCATAGAGGTGATGAGTGGCCCTGCAGGTGGGCAGGGCAGGGGCGGGACAGGGTGGATGGGGGCAGGGCAAGGGCGGGGTGGGGCTGGGGCCAGTTTTTGGGCACTCAGTCTCTAAAAGGTTCGCCATCACTGTCTTAGACCAATTTCCATAATTACCAAGCTAGCCTGAATACCAGACTGGCGAAGGCTCATGGTTGTAACACTAAAGACCAGGACACAGAGAGAAAATAGATTTCTAGATACTGGTCTCCACTCTGTCACACTCAACAGATGAACACCTACTATAATTTGCTATAATTTGGGAAATGGAATGACAAGTTTAAAACACCATGAATCAATTGATGCCAGATTGAATATATGATGAATTTAATGCAATGGTTCTGCAAAATGAGCAGCTGAATCCAACTTTTTCACATGGAAAAATTGTCACGTTTTATGCTTTGGGAGTATTTTGTTTGCTAAGGGAGATTTCAACAACCACAACAAATTCAATTTGTTTTGACTGCAAAGAATTTTCCTAACAGGTTTTTTTAAAAAAACACTGGTGTTTTTAAACATAACAGGTGAATAATAATTATAAACAATGAATATCTGGGGAATACTTAAAAGATAATTGCATTTATTACAGCATAAAAAATAACAGATACAATCTGGCTTCATCAGATACTGTAACATGCATTGTTTTAGTTGTTAACTGATAACATGGTTACCCTTTTGAAAATTAGCCTGGATCACTGTTAAGGTAAGTTCATGTGTATTTAACACAACATCTATTCTAAATCTTTCATAGGTATAACTATAGGTACATATATAGTATACATCTTATTATTTCTGAAAGAAAAATTGCAGCATTTTCATTCGTTTGGATTTTGTATCCTTTATCATTTATTTAGAATGATGAATTCCAACTATTTTTTTTTTAAAGTCAGCTTTAGGATGAGCCTTTAACATATGATTTCTAGTTAATGGGTTATTGTTATTTTAGATAGGAAAGGAACTTTTTAACAATGTATCAAACAATAAGCTGGAAAATCTTGTTTTTGTTACAGTGTGATCATTAATTTGACACGAAGAGCAAGTACACCCTGCAGAGTCACATTATTCTGGTAATTCTTAAGCAGCAAAGTCAAAGGTTAATTGTTTGTATTTACTACATGGTTCAGAATTATCCTGTACTTGTGACTTAACCTGAGAGCCGTTTGAACTTTACAGTGCAAAATGTCATACGATTTGTTGCAATTATTATTTAATAGTCCCCCTAGAGGGCTTAAATACACTGCTTATTGATTAGACTCTTAATAGTTTTTTTAAGTGATTAATTCTATACTATTTGCTTCTTTGCTTGACTGCATTCTGTCATTTTTGCAGCTCAATGCTGCCTGCTCTTGAAATAATTTCACTGATTTTTTTAAAAAAATGCAAAAGAGAGAGAGACAGAGAGACAGAGAGAGACCGAGAAAGAGAAGCAACATGGAGTATTATTCCAGCTGTTATGAACTGATATACAGAAAAAAAAGAGGCAAACACATTCCTTGCCCTGAATGTCAGGATCTCATGACATAATTTTATTTTCATCCCCAAAAGCTCTAGTCATCAACCTGGAGACCCCCGGGTGTGGGGAATTACGGCCTGCAAACTGTATTAGTAGAATACAGGTAGTCCTCAACTTATGACCACAACCGAGCCCAAAATTTCTCTTCCTAAGTGAGACATTTGTTAAGTGAATTTTGTCCCACTTTACAACCTATCTTGCCACAACTGTTAAGTTAGTAACATGGTTGTTAAGTGAATCTGACTTCCCCATGGGCTTTGCTTGTCAGAAGCTAACAAAAAGGGAACCACGTGACTCTGGGACACTGCAACCGTCATAAATATGAGTCAGTTGCCAAGCATCTCAATTTTGATCCCGTGACCGTGGAGATGCTGCAACAACAGTCATAAGTCACATTTTGCAATGTAACTTTGCTCACTAAACGAACTGTTATAAGTAGAGGGCTATCTGTATTAGAAGTTGTTCTTCCTATTATGCATGCATGCCCACTCATCAGAGTATTATTTAACCATTTTCAGATAAACACTCACGCAACTAATAATGCAATACATGAACTGAAGCAATTGCAGCAATCCATATGATTATGGCAACATATGTTTCAGTATGGCATCATATATCCATTTTGGCACAAAACAGAATCTGGACAGGTGTGGGAAATGACAAGTAGGTGACTTGCAGAATTTTTACCTTATACCAGGAGACTGTTCCGGTTGTGAGCTGTAGATCCTGGGAAACCTTACAAGGGAGAAAAGCATCTTCATGACATGTTGCCTCAACTTCTTGTCGGACATCAGCTACTGCATGAAGCCCACACCAGACTGAAAAATAAAACATACCAGAAAAAAAGACACTACAAATGAACATCTTTAGAATGATTTTCCAAATGAAAGATATTTTTTTTAAAGAAAGATCCTGAAGGAGTATGAAGAGGCAGAGAGCAATAAAACATTGAAAAGAAAACTATTTACTTTGAGTTAGGAAGACAAGCTGATAGCAACGCATTGATGCCATGAATGCTCAACAGAAGGGGAGATCTTGGTTCTTTTCAGGAGAAGGAAATGAGAACTGAAAGAGATGCTATCTAGCAGCCTGTAAAGGAGACAAATTATTGGGGATTTCCCCTCCTCCCCCAACCCCAAATTAGGGAAGTTTTAAAGGCCACAGGCTGCAGGCAGAAAGTCCCACAGGGTAGCCTTCGTCTTCTTTTTAATAATTAAAAAAACTCTATAATCAGCAGTATTATAATATCATAAGGCCCATAAGTCTATTTTGGAAAATTATTCCACATTTTCCCCAAATAACCCCTTGAAAAGTCCATTAACTCAGGAACTCACCCAACCCTTCACTTGGAACGTTTTACAATATTTTTATGTGAGGTTATTCTAGAGAAGGGGTTTTTTTTTCCACCTCTCATGTTTCTTTCCCCACAGTTCCATGCAATATTACTTTCATGGTTGAAATATTATTAGGCAGCCAAAAAAAAAATAATACAAGAGTATCTCATTCTATTATGGTAATTCCCTTTTCCCCTGAATTTGCAGAGTTGTAGATTCAAAAGGGAGAAAATACAGGAGGGGTATGGTGGACTCTTATATAGCTCCTATCAGCAACTATTGAAAATAGCTGTATTTTTTTTTCTCTAGAAACATGCAGCTGCCCTCCAAATATTTAAATTTAGCAATAAACATTGTAAGGAAAAGATCTCCATTCAAAAGTAGGAAACAGAGCCCATGCAAAATGAACATCCACATATTCTGTGGAATGAAATGTATCCATTCATTTGTAAGCTTATGTCAGACACAAGCAACGAGATCCATATGTAAAAGGTTCAAGTTGACTTCTTTATTGCTTCCTAGTTTTAATACAAGAATCTCCCAGACTACTCACCCTTCCTTGGGAACAAACAGTTAATGTTCGTGGAACTTAGGGGATGTCAGTCCTAGGTCTCTTGCAACTGTGTAATGACTCAACGCTAATTCCCTGCTTGATCACTCCTCCTTGTCCAGCTGATAGTTTTCCAAATTTAAAACAAACTTTTTTACATATTCAATCTTTCTGTTCCAAAAGACATTGTAAAGTTGATGATACTCTATCAATTGCCATGCTATTCAATTTTAATGTTGTTCTTTATTTTCGTTCCCCTCTTTCCCTTTTGTGTAGAGCAGGGCTTTTCAATCAGCGGTACAGGTACCACCTGTGGTACATTGGCACCTGGCAGGTGATATGCGACCATCCTAGAAAAGTGGTAGCAGGGGAGGGGAATGAGAGCACTGCCGGGCGGGCAGGCAGGTGTCTTGCTCGGCTGTGCCTTGAGGGCACTTTTTTCAGTGCCACTGTAACTTCGAACAGTCACTAAGCAAACTGTTGTAAGTTGAGGACTATCTGTACTTTATCACTTTTTTCCTTTTTTTTTTTGGTCATCAAGTTTTTGACACTTTGCTAGGCGACTGGTGGTACTCGGATGTTGCCATATCCTAAAAGTGGTACAATGTGTGAAAAGGTTGAAAAGCCCTGGTGTAGAGCAATGGTTCTCAACCTGTGGTCCACAGACCCCTGGGGGGGGGGTTGCGATGTTGTCACATGGGGGTCTATGAAGAAATGTTGTGATTTCAATCTTGAGTGACGTCTTGGGCCATGATCTTGGGCCACAAAAGGTATTTAAAGGGGGTCCATGGTGAAGAAAAGATTAAGAACCACTATTGTAGAAGACATGGGAGGGTTTTGTTTTGTTTTGCTACTTCAGGACATGCAGCAACTGAGGATAGAGCAGTGATTTTTGCTCCTTGTCCCCAGGATTTCAAGTCAGCAGAAGAAATGGCAATCAGGAGTCAGGGCTCCCTTTCAGAATACCGTATATGCTGGCGTATAAGACGACTTCCGGAAGTGCTAAACTCGGCGCCAAAGACGGGGGTCGTCTTATACGCCAGAAATACTGGTAGTTTCCGGCGTATAAGACGACGTTCTAGGAATGCGGCTCGGTGACAAAGATGGGGGTCGTCTTATACGCCGGGTTGCCTAATACGCCGGCATATACGGTACTTCTTAGAGTTTGCAGAGTAAAACAGCTTGTTGAAGGCCTATCTAAAAGTTAGGAAATGCATGCAAAAGAAAATGGGTTCATAGAATTATAGAATCATATGGTTGGAAGGAACCTTGGAGGTCTTCTAGATCTCATACCATCATGGACAAAATGGTTATCCAATCTTTTCTTGAAAACCTCCAAGGATGAGCACTCGCAACTTTGAAGGGCAACCTGTTCCACTGCTTAACAGTTCTCACTGTTAGGAACATTTCTCCTTATTTCCAGGTTAGATCTCCCTCTGAGGAGCTTCTATCGATTGTTTCTTGTCCTACTCTCAAGTACTATAATCATTACCCTCTTTACTATGGCAGCCCTTCAAGTGTTAGAAGACTGGTATCATGTTTCCCTTTCAGTTTTCTCTTCTTTAAGTTAAACATACCTAGTTCCTTTAACTATTCTTCATAGGATTTAGCCTCCAGACCAGTGTTTCTCAACCTTGACAATTTTAAGGCATGTGGACTTCAACTCCCAGAATTCCACAGCCAGCATTGCTGGCTGTGGAATTCTGGGAGTTGAAGTCCACATGCCTTAAAATTGTCAAGGTTGAGAAACACTGCTCCAGACACTCATCATCTTTGTTGTTCTTCTCTACACTCTTGTGCAGTGGTGACCAGAACTGGGTGGAGTATTCCAAATGTGGACTCACCAGTGTGGAATAGAGCAATACTATCACTTCCCTTGATCTTGATACTATCCCTCTCTTGATGCAGCCCAGGGCTACCTTGACTCTTTTGGAAGCTACAGCACAGTTCTGACTCATACTTAAGCAATGGCCCAGCAGTACATCTAGATCCCTATCACGGTCATTACTGTTTATCTAGGTACTGCCCACCCTGTACCTGTGCATCTGACATTTTCTGCCTAAGTGAAGACCTTATTTTCCTTGCCACTGAACTGCATCTTATTGGTAATTTCTTCCCCTGTGGGGGGAAAAAAAGTCAAATTATAAGTTTCCAGCCAGTGACATAATGTAGGGGAGTCATTAATTTAAGGTGACTGAGGTGACAAATTGTGAAAGAAGAAGCAGAGACTCTGTGGTTTAAAAAAAATAGAGTACAATGTGAGAAATTGGCATTTGTTTTTTTTTTAAAAAAAGAGGAAATGAAAAATTATAAACTTTCATCAGTTATCAAAACTGGAGTTTTGGTATTTTCAAAATTGGACATAATGAACTAGCAATTTTTATGTAAACTATAAATAGGAGAGCAGGTTTCTTTGGAATTTTAACGGCACTTCTCATACATGTCATAAATCTATTGACAACAACGTTGAGAGCAAAATGAGAAAAGCAAAAGTCTCTCTGTTTCAGTTAACATTTAAAGTTAGCCAGGAACTTTTAAAATGTGCTGAACACAAACATTATTTTAATAAAATGTTCTTTCTATTTCCTTAAACCAGCCCTAGGTGGCAACCATACATCATATCCGATTGCCCTAATACCATCTAAGTGCCTTTGAAAAGCTGGAATTGTAAAGAACATTTTATGTAAACATAATCTGTGATTTGGGGCACTGGGACAAACCAAAATTCCAGAAGCTTCTATTCGTTTTCAGTAGAGTCACTTGATAAATAGTGAAAAGATATTCGTACTTTACATCCCTGTACAATTCCTGTACGTTTATCATATAAGAGGGTTAAGTCACTCCTCTAAGAGTCTGCATTTCTCAGAGAGGGGGGTGGGTGTTCTATCCCAGCCTATAGCCATCCTTGTTAAAGGCACAAGGACCAAACCCCTGTTGATAAAATAGGCTGGAGACTTTAAAACAAAACAAACCCCTTTTAATATAGGTGACAAACCTGCCAAATAGTCCAAAACACAAACAGCAAAACTCAATCCAAATGAAGGAAATAGCCCACAGGAAACACAATGCAAACAGAAGAGTAGTCACAAGCAAGACGAATAGACCAAGATTCCAAAAAGTACTTTGCAAACGGTTGCCTTCAGCAACCAGGACCACCCACACCTCTTTTTATACAGCAGTCCCAAGACGTTGCCTCTCAGTGCCTTCTCCTTTTACCCTGGAGTTGCCGTATTGACTGCTGCTGATTTACTCTCGCTAATTGACGACGTGTGCGAGCATCAATTAGCATGTCCATCAGATGTGAGTCCTCCGAGTCTGACTCATTCTCCTCACACAGCTGAGCTTCATCAGGAACACGACTGGAAGGCCCAGGCTCTGCATCAAACCGTGAGTCCTGTAATTCATCAGAGCCTCCCTCTGCCCCTGATGGCCCTTCAAATGCCTCCTCCACCTCCTCCTCAGATTCCTCAGACTCAGCTGTTAGGAGCACAGGCTTGCATGGAATCACAACAGTGGGTACCTGTGAAGTATACCTACACTTATAAGCTTCAAGGGCTACCTAGTCTAGTGACCTGTGTTCTTGGTAGGTTCTTTTGATGGTTTTTATTTATTTATTTCACCCCAATCAATATAAGCAAAGACAGAAAGCACAACAGAAAGAATATAGTATTTTTGTTACATCGATTGATTGACTGATAGACTGATTGTTTGATTATTGATTGATTGATTGATTATGTGCCATCAGCACCCATAGAAATAGATTTTCTCCATGACAATTAGTCCCTGACATAGCCCTTCTGGTCTTCCAACAGTGTGCAGGTAATTCTCAACTTACAACAGTTCATTTAGTGACTGTTCAAAGTTACAACAGCACTGAAAGAAGTGACTTATGACCATTTTTCACACACTTACAACTGTTGCAGCATCCCCAGGGTCATATGATCAGAATTCAGATGCTTGGCAAGTGACTCATATTGATGATGGCTGCAAAGTCCCAGGGCCATGTGATCACCTTTTGCGACCTTCTGACAAGCAAAGTCAATGGGGAAGCCAGATTCACTTAATAACCTGGTCACTAACTTAACAACTGTGGCAAGAAAGCTCTTAAAATGGGACAAAACTCACTTAACAAATGTTTCACTTAGCAACAGAAATGTTGAGCTCAATTGTGGTCGTAAATCAAGGGCTACTTGTACTCAGTG